CTCGTTCTGTAGTCTGCGAAATTGAGCACGGATACTGGGATCACGTGTTCTCTGCCAAAGTTTTCGCAGGTAGTTGCGCCGCTTAATTTTGGATTTAGTATCCGGTGGGAGCCTAGCGCCCGGATGTGTGATATGTTTCGAAGCCGCGGCACTTGCTTCTTTCAGTAAAGACTCCATGTTTTTGATACACCTGTCAGAGTCCGCATTGCTGTCAGAGTCCGCATTGCTTGATTTGATAGGGGGTAGCTGCACGTTCCAAAATAAACCGAAAATCGTTCTAGTTTGTTGAGACTTGCTCCTATAATTTTGAATATCGATTTTTAATATCTAGGGTAATCAAAATGGGGTAGTGATCAGAATCTAACTCTTGAATCACTTTAATTTTATGCCGAAAGTAAACATTATAAAAAGCAGCCAGATCAAGAACTGCGAGGGGACCCTCTTACAGGGTAGTAAGTTGGGGCAATAGGAGCTATGATCTGTACATGGGAGCTCTGAGCCCATGAATTTAGACTAATGCCAAACCTGTTCCTATTAGGGAATATCGAGAGTGGACCATGGATAAGTGAAAGACATTTGCCTGGTCGAATGAATCACGATTTCTCATTCATCATGTCGAAGGTTGTGTCAGGCTACGCCATCTTCCAGCAGAACCGCTACTTCCCTTTGCACAGCAGGTCATACACAACCTGGTGGTGGCAGTATTATGCTTTGGGGGATGTTCTGATGGGCGACTTTGCGAACCTTAGTTGTGGTAGGACAAATCTTGAAAGCTGCAGACTATCTGAACATAACTGCAGATCAGTTGAACCCTTACATGACGTCCGTCTTCCCAACTGGAAATGGAATCTTCCAGAAGGACAAACCTCATGTCATAAGTTTTGAATTGTGTTGGAGTGGTTCGAGGAGCATAAGAATGAATTCTAGTTAATGACCTATCCACCTAACTCGCCAGATCTTAACCCGATAGAACACTTTTGAGATGCCATGTAATGGCAGCTCAGAGCTCAAACACCACCATGTCGGAATATCCTGACTTTGGGTGACCGCTGCTTATATATTTGGTACAACTGTCTTCAGTCATCTACTAAGAACTTGTTGCATCCATGCCAAGACGAGTTGCAGCTGTTTTGCTAGCCTAAGGTCATGCAACACTGTATTGAGTAGGCAGTCATAATGTTTTGCTTCTACAATGTATATTTTCTATTTAATGTCATTACACTTTCGCAACTGAATTTTTATTACTCCTAATAGTTTTCCCTCTGGGTTGCAGTTTATAAACACATAAACAATTAAATCCTCTTTTCTTATAATAAGAAGTTTTAATTCATCTGCTACTGAATTCTTGATAAAGAAGCACATTAAAGCATTATCAAATAATATCCTGATAATTTTCAATCTATAAGACATCGCAGTTCTCACGGGGCATGTTTGTAATAAAACTGAATTTGTGTCCTTTACTTGCTTGTAATGTCATACAGATAAAACTATGGGTTGCGATTTACTATCATTATATTTTTTTCATTAAACTTGTGTTCAGTTTGAAAATTTAAGTTTTTAAAGCTCTCACACAATTAAGTTCTCACAATGATTACTAGAATTACATTTTCTACATAGATTTAATTTTGTTCTAAAATTAACTCCAATGTGAATTTTTATAGCATTTAAAAGCATGATCTTCAACTGTTAGCTTGTTTTGTTTTTCAGCAAGGAAAGAACTTTACATTGAAATGAATCATTTTATACTGGTTGAAAATGCAGCTGTTAGTTAACTAATAAATTTAAACTGATTTTTATTTACTTCATCCTTAAAGTTGTTGCTAGAAACCATTATATTTTTAGATTTCTTTGAATCATGTAATAAGTTGGAACTTCCAACTTACCATTTCAATTTTTAAGAATTCATCTAATTCCAAAATGCCAATTTCTGTTTTTGATTTCCTCTTTTAATTATGTTACAAAGCTATCAATTTCATTAAAATTGGATACAATAAATGATCGTAGCTTCCTGTAACTGCATTTAATGTTTCCAAGAATCAAATATTAGTTTCTTCATCAGGGAATTGTATTACTATGCTGCTATACTTTATCATATAATTTCTGAAGAGCTATGATGTCACAAGCACACTTTACAGGATCTAGGCTAAGTAACTTTGTCACGGGAATATTAATTATGATGTTGTTACTTCCAAAATGTTCTTTTAGCAAAATGATTCTTTTATTATAATTTTCACTCATTAGAGCAAATCCTTTAATTGCATCCAGCACAAATTTATGTCTTAACGTTTTAGGTGTGAAAATTTTTCAGTATCAGGTAAACTTTCATTTTCATGAATGGAATTTCCAAACCACTGACTCTAAAAATCAAGTCATATGCTGATATCGCTATAATACATCTATAGTACTTAGCAATAGTCAATTTCGGAAATTTCACTAGTTTTCACTGAGAAGAAACATTACTTCTGTTACTGAGTACCTTCTAAATTAGTATTTACTCTTTGATTTGAGTTAGATTTTTTTCTTTCAACTACTTAAAAACTTCAGATTTATATTTAAATATTTTCTCATCATAATCTTTACTATCTGTCACTTCTGTTTCTTCTTGTATTACATGGATTCAAATCAGCAGCCAAAACCTTTTCAAGTACTGTATTTGTTAATTGAAAAATAAGGCAGTGAAAAAGGCATTTTTACTTGCAGTTGGCTTTTTTCTGATAAAATTGCTGAACTAGAAAGGACACTTTACACTGCATTTTTTAAATACATGTTTTTATCCCAGTTATCTCCTGTAAAGTGTCATATATTTTTATTTTTTTTTTCAAAATTCAGCTTTGGTATGATATAATTTAAAACATGGAGATAAACAGAGTCTAGCGTCACAATCGGAACAAATATATCAGGTTTCTTTTCTGACACATTTTCTTGCTAACATTTCTTTTCGAGCAGCACACAAGGCCTAATCAAAATGCAGTAAAACCTGTCCTTGAACTGGTTTTATAATCCAATCTCTCCTGGATTACTAAAGACATTTATTAGAAACACTGCAAAGTAGCAAAAGTGAAAAAGTTGGGAAAATCAAGGGATTGGTCTGCCCAAGCAGTGTACGAGCAAATCAGAGGAGTCCCCTTTCGCAGCACCCGAACGGTTATGGGCAAAACTATTAAGTGGTTAATCAAAGACTCTGTGCTAGTATTTAATTTGTTTTACTTAATATTTTTATTGAACAATTATTTATTTAATTTATTAGTTCATAATTTTTTTCTTTTACTGTTAATTGTTCATTTTGAAAAACAGTTTCTATTTTTGTTATAATTTTAGTCGTTAGACTTTAAACCACTATTCATTTTTCTTTAACGATTCAAGTTTTGTAATAAAAAGAAAAAAAAATATCTCAATTACTTTCAGAATGAAAGTTAATTGTGCCTTATTTCAGCTCCTCGATTTGGGTGCCATAGCGATGAATTGTGTTCAAGTCTTCATAGAGTGGGTTCTCACGTTTTAATAATCCACGCAATTGAATAATGATCCATGAATACAGTTTATAAAGCTTGAATTCAATGCAAAAAAGATGGATAATTTTATTGGTTATTTGAAAGACGAGCTTTTTGTGTTCCTGTCATTACAGACCAGGTTTCTTTCACACTGAACTTAATCAAACATTCTCTGCATATAGTGCATTAATAGTAGCAACAATATAGTGCATTAAAATTCTTTACAGTATTTATAATAGTTATCACTTCAAAGGTAAAGCAACTGAAAAACTTAGGGAAAATTGCTGAATTGTTGTTCATGCTTTTTGTTTACTCTTAATGATATTTTGCATATCTACTTCTGAGATGAAATAAATAGGTTGAAATAAACAGGTGAAATAAACATTTGATGTTTTTATATGCAATTATGACCGGCACTCCATTAATTGAAATATAACTAAACTTATTTTGCAGAATACATAGTTTTATTCGGATATGATTTTTTATTTTATTTTTATTTATTTATTTATTTTTTATCAGAGAAAACAAAAAGGGATCAATTTAAAATTTTAATTTCATAGAGAATACTTTTCAGGCCTTGAAATTCGTTTTGAATTCCTTATACATTTATTGTCTGCTTCTCTCAATTTGGATAACAAAATCCATTTATTTGCATCTTATCTATAATTATTGCATCTGAATGCAAAAGAGCTGTGCTTTCAGTTAAAGGTAACAAGTATTTATTATTTTCAAAGGGAAAATAACTGGCATAAATGTGAGTATGATCTTTAAAATATAAAAAAAATATGTTCTTTCTCCTATATCACAATAGATCTAGTTTCTAAATATCCTTCGCCCACCAACGGCCGAGCAGTAAAGTCGCTGAACACCGGTAGTTTGATCCAAGGTTCGAATCCCACGAACGGGTTGGCTGCAGGGGCGTTTTCGTGGTTTTCCTCGTGTGTAACGTGTATACGAGTCAGTTTCCCTTAGAAAGTCCTCCACGAAGGCATCCCTCCCCTTAGACAGATAGCCCTAGTGTGCTTTGCCATAATTAAATACATCAACATCAATTCTAAACATCCTTCAATTTTTGTCATAAAATATATTCACATTATCATTCAATTATGAGTCCTATTTTGTTAGATATCAGTTATTGTCTTAAGATATTCTATAGAGTTTATGATTTTGAGTTGGAATTGTGCTGGTTTTAAGCTTTTTGCTCAGAATCTAGGGCTTTATCAGATTTTATCTCAATAGCCTACTGCAGTTGCAGTATAAAAGACCCTTTGTATTATTTAGTGAATGAAAATTTTTTAAAAACTGATCTTTCAGAAGACTGAATTTATGTTGCTTAACACTTGATTATTAATTTTTAATTACAATATATGTAATTCAAGCATAGTTTTCTTAATTTTTATGTTTTTCCCCTTTTTTATTTACTTCTTATATTTCAACCTCATTAAATAGAACTTGAAATAAAGTTTTATTCTTGTTTCTTAATTTTATATTTTGTCTTTGATTTCACAGGTTGTGCCTATTCCACCTTCTGTTATTAGTCTACCTGAAAGGTCTAGTTTGGCTACAAATGAATTGATTTTTCCCATTTCATTACCACCTTTAGGATTTTCTGTATATGGTGTAAAGATGCTTGCTGGTAAGTAGGACTTTTTTTCACATAATTATGACAATCAGTGAAAAAATTATTTTACTGCTATCTGTTTTCAGTGCAAAAATTTATTTAAAAATAAATGTTATTTTTTTAACACAGAATAAAATGTTATTTATCAAAAATAAATAACATTTTACAGAAATAAATGTTATTTATTTTTAAATAAAAATTTATTAATAATGTATTAAGTTATTTAAAAGTAAATATTAAATGTTATTTAAAAATATTGAAAGGCCTTTTTTGCTTAATATTTCTGATAATTCAATTATTGCATAATTTTATTGGCTACCATCATAATTTTATCAAAATACATATATTTTATTTAATTGTTTATATTTACTTTACAGCTTAAGTGTTTTGGTATTTATTTGTTTGTTTAAAATCATCATAAAAGGAAATTAAAACTACATTCAAAAATAAAAATATTACATTTTTACATAAATTTAGTTTTAAGTTTATTTATCAGTAAAAAATTATGTATTTTTCATTATCTTTTTATGTGAAATAAATTTTCTTTGTGATAAGTGATATTGAACTTTGTGATAGTGAACTTTGAATATTTGCGATAGTGAACTTTTGAGATAATCTGTCATCTTTAATGACTAAAACTGTATTTAACCTGTAGGGTTTATATTTATTTTAACTAACATTTATTTTAAGTTTAAACTATCTTTCCTGTCAAGCCTTACTTTCCCCTGGAACTGCCAATGCCAGAGTATGTAAATTTTAGTAGAATGCACAAGGATTCAAATTATCAGCGGAAGTATTCTGAGTTAAATAGAAAGGAAACGAGTTCGAAGTGTGCTGTTCTTACTTCACGAGCGCGGAGGTAGTTAGACAAAAATTGAAGAACCCCGTGTTTCGGCCTGTGTGCTTGCCTCGGAGAATTGTTAATTGTTCAACGTGATATTCAAAGTTTGCTGAATTAGCAGCGGTATTGTAAAACGCGGTGAGGTTAGTTACTTTTAGAGAGCCTCGTAGTTAGAGTCTTGTTATTATTTTCTTTTCAGGTTCTTATTTTTATTTTACCGCAGGGTCGGCGTAGTTTGTGAGCGTCAAGAGCACGCAATTGTAATTTCTTAAGTTGAATAAAAAGGGACTTAAACCCTTAGCAAGACTCTGTCTATTTTCCAGTTTCAACAGTCACCTCTTGGTTGCATGCAAGTTGGAGGCGCACTCTACAAACCCTTAAGCACATGTGAGAGATAAGTACTTATCCGCAACTAAATGGCATTAAGACTGCATAGTGACTTGGTTACGAATAAAAACAAAAAATATGTGCATCAAAGGATTTAAGACTTAGATTGAAAATAACTAATAATTATCTATGAATTGAGATATTTATTTATTGCACTGCATGTTTTCTGCGTTTTTACAGCTATGGCCAAAAATATATAAACACCTTTTTTTTTATTATTATTATTTGTAAATTTAAGTATATTGTTTCTCTAAATTTTTAAATTCATAGTTAATATATATTGTTTGGACTCTTGCAGTACAGTTTATTGATTCTTTAAGTATCAGCACTGTTTAGTTGAGTGTTTTCATGCTGTGATGTTTTTTCAAGAGCTATTATAAAAGTGCATTAGATTAAAAAAAAAAAAAAAAATACCTGTTTACTGAGAACAGATATCTTTATTTATAACAAAATTTTTAACTTCTTTATCAGTATTTAGTTGCCAAACCTTTGTTTTAAGGGCTGTATTAATTCTATTTAGCAGGGAGTTGACTAATTTTTTACATTTTTCAACAATGGAATATTATGCTTTTGCATAATTATCCAAAACTCCTTTATATGTAATGAATGATGGTTATTTATTTTATTCCATAAATTCTAAATTGTACTTAAGTCCAATAAGTGAGAAGGTCATAGCAGAACATCAATCCTGTTTCACTCAAATAAGCTTTTCGTCAGCTTTAATGAATGCTTTGTATCATTATCTTGCTGATAGTGCCATATCTTTTTCTGCCCAGGGTAGCAGTGTATTCCATAATATATCCATACGTATTTTTTTGCTCATGATATTATTTATTTGAAAAGTTGCCGTACCTTGAAAAACAGCCCACACCATTCCACTACCATACAAGGTACCATACTACCATATTCCAATACCATTTCCACCTGCAATCATTTGGTGAGAAATTTCACAATTGAATAGAAAAAAATGACACATTTAATAAATCATTAACATTTAACAGGGTTAATAATATTTTTATAGCATTTATTTATTGTCCAACACATTTTTGGGTGAGTTCAGAGGAAAACATTAATGCAGAAACATCCCAGTAACTGATGTTATTCTTCTGAGTATTAAATTATAACACTAAGTTTCAAACAGTACACATTAGCCATAAATTAAAAATGCTAAAACTATGTCAGTCTTAAATTTGCATTAAAATAAAAGGTGTTTCTATTATTTCTATCATAGTTTTATATGAGAATAAATACTTATTACTGCAGAATATGAATATTTTGAAAAATATTCTGGTGTTTAGGTGGATTGCACTTTATTACACATTACACTGAAAAATTTGGAGCAGAGCGTAAAATTGCTCTCATGCCAATAAATCACCCCCATGAAAGGTAGATAGAAAAGAGGCTCTGAAATAGTTTTTGTTTACACTATATGACCTAGAAAATTAATGGGTAATTAGAAGCATTAGATAATATGTACCGCTAATATGTTCATTCTAATTCTTTGGTTCAGGTAATTTTTATCCCCATGTAGGTTTAAATGTTAAAATGGCCATTTTTAAAAAAGGAATTCTCCAATTCTCTGTAATATTGATTAATCATTAGAGAAATATTACAAATTTCACAAATTAATGCTTAATTTAAATATTAACAAAAATATATGTAGAATCTATTAAGAAGCAAAAATAAATGGATAAATAATTAAAATAAAAAAGGATGTATCAGCCTTTTAATATCATTTCTTATTAATGTTTAATCCCAAAAATATTTAAAATTTTAAATATTTTTTTGCTCAAGTCTTTTTTTTTTTTTTTTTTTTGTATTTTTATTAAATAAAATACCATATTTCTCCCTCCATTCTTTTGCTAATTTTAATGTTCAAAAGTCGAGAGGGGAAAGATATGTGAATAATTAATTTCAAACAGACACAGTTATAATAAGAACATAATGAAAAATATTCATGGATGGCAATACAATGTCTTATAAAATATCTTCATATTTACTTCTCTGTAACTTGAATCTTTCCTGTTGTTACTGTTATTTCTGCTATTCCTTAGGCGTCAAACATCCCTAAATAGAGAAGGTGAATGTGCAGCTGAGCGAAATTGTAGACTAAATGTCAGTTTGTGTTTGCTATGTGATTGGTTGGTTCTTGTACTAGGCTGGCATGAACTTTAACAGAAAGAAAAACATTCGACATAGTTTGTGAGGGTTTGGTTTTGTTGATAAGATGAAAACTATCACTACATGGATGAATCCATTTTAAAATTTAGGGGAGCTCATTTTCTGAATACATGGAGGAAGAGAGAAAATATTGAATATTTTAAAAGTTTTTAGAACCTGATGCTTGAAAAGCTGATGGAAATAAATGAGGGGCGAAAGTACGCAAGGAAATATAATATTTTGTTCACATCTGTCAATCCATTATTAGAAAAAGGAGACAGGGGGGGAAAACCTATTTATGTGAGCATGAATATTGCTAGTTGGTGCTTTATACTTTGTGGTATTTATATATTTGCATATGCATACACAGCATAAGGCATTCATCTATAGCAGTGAGATCATTATTCCCCCTCCTTCCTTCTCAAACCTTCAAAAATACATTTAAATTTAGATTATTTTTATATGTTTAATAAATTAAATATGAAAATGTTTATGAATACCAAAACTTGAATAAAAGTAATTTTTCATATTCAAAAATTAAACTAAATACTTAACAGGTAATTAAATGGCTGACTACATTCCCTCTCAAGCTATGAAATTTCTCTCAAGAGAAAAGAATTCTCCCTTGGTTGAAAACTCTTGATTTATAGGCTTGATATAAGCCTCTTTTATTATTATTATTTTATATAATTTTGTACGAATTTTGTATTTCAGTAACTTTAATAACTGCTGTAATTTTTAGATTTGGAACCTGTTATTGACATTGAAAGTGGCCGCATTTCAATATCTATCCAAGATGCTACAATTCAAAATGAGGTGCTCTTTCTTAATGCTTCTTCATTATTACAAAACATATATTGTATTTTAAAGTACAATTTTGTATTTAAAAATAATATAGCCAGCTTATTAAAGTCATTGTTTAACTTTCTGGAAGTCTGTTTTTAGTTACTTGTGAATGAGGACATTTGAGAAAGCATTCTTTTTTTTTTTTTTTTTTTAATTATTTTTTTTAATTTAATTGAGAGGTAAAAGAATAATAATTTTAAGTTTTTCAGTTGTTTTGTTTTGCAAATTTATTCCATCAGTAAATGTAATTTGCTGCTTTTATGCAAGAATTTTTCACCATTGAGTGACGTCAAAGACATATGTATGTGTGTATCCTACATAAATATATTAATTTCAGTTATTAATCAGATGGCATTTTCAGTTTTTAAGTGGTTTGATAAAAACTACAGTAAAAGTTATTTACTGAAAAAGATGCTACAATTCAAAATGTTCAAATTAATCTTATTAATCAGATGATGGCATTTTCAGTTTTTAAGTGGTTTGATAAAAACTACAGTAAAAGTTATTTACTGAAAAATGTTAGAATTTAAATACAGTAAAAACTTTCAGAAATGTAAATTTAGTTAAAATCCCATTTACCTGAGCTACTTGGACCATACCAATAAGTTGTTTTGGATTTTACTTTTTTTAATAGGCCATGGTGATTATGTAAAGTATTTTCTCTCCTTATGTACTTATATACATGTCTCTCCTTATGTACATGTCTGACTGGCAATCAGATGGTCTTGGAGTACTGACAAAGACGTTTCACATTTTTCATGTTTCCTTCTACAAATAAACCTAACTGTACAATTCTTATGGCAATAAATACATATAATAATTAAGACACAATAACACGCCGAATAAATACTAATTCAGAAGTCAAACAACAAAAATCAGCGTTAATTTGCAAAATTTTCACAGGACTAGTTTCGATGGTTTTACCGAACCATCATCTTCAGCTGCAAAACCGCAAATGAACAAGATAGGAAATAATGCTTAGATAAGATAAGAAAGCCTGGACAAGATGGGAAGCCCCCTCAGTCCCATCCTGGCTGATATCTACATGCATTATTATGAATCAAAATTGTTTGAAACTTTAAACTTCCCGGCATGGTTCCGCTACGTAGACGATACTTTTACCCTGTTTGAAGGTAATAAAGATGATTTAAATAGAGTTCTTTCAACAATGAATTCTATTGATCCTGCTATTCAGTTCACTTTTGAACTTGAGACTTGCAATTCTCTTCCGTTTCTCGACATTCTGGTCACACGTAACACATCCAACTTCAGTACTACAGTTTACCGTAAACCTTCATCGGTTTGCCTTCCACCACACTTTAAATCATGTCATCCGACTAAACAAAAGTTAGCTTCATTTTATTCCTATGTTTTCCGTGCTCTTCAAGTTTGCTCCTCCAAACTAGCCCTTGATGAAGAACTAAATTATTTAAAAGCAATAGCTATTGACAGGGGCTTTTCACCCAACATTATTAATCAAGCAGTTAAAAAATTCTCATCTCAAAACACACTAAAAGCCACACTCTTATTTTAGGAGATTATAAAAATTCTGTTGTTCATTCCCTTCTTTCCATCAATTAGCTATAAAGTTGCACATATTTTGCAGAAATTTAACTTTCGGGTTGTTTACTCTCCCATCAATAAAATTCCAACTTCTATACTCAAGGACCCCATTTCGGATATGAATTCCTGGGGTATTTATAGGATTCCTTGCCAGTGCGGTTTAATTTACATTGGCCAAACTAAGAGAGCCTTAAAATTTCGTGTCAAAGAACATGAAGCATATGTTAGAAAAAAGGAAACACAGAAGTCTTCTGTTGCTCAACATTGTTGGTCCGAAAATCACACTTTCAATTTTTCTGCTGCCAAAATTATTCAAAAAACATCTTCCATTGGAGAACTGGATTTTCTAGAGGCATTTCACATTCATAAAAATCTTTCTGTTCTAGTTAACGATCCTAATTCCAATCCAAATTTGCCTTCGGCTTTTAGAGAAATTATGTTTTAGTTCTGGTTTCGCCAACAGATGGCGCCACTTGCTTATTCTTGTCCAGGCTTTCTTATCTTATCTAAGCATTATTTCCTATCTTGTTCATTTGCGGTTTTGCAGCTGAAGATGATGGTTCGGTAAAACCATCGAAACTAGTCCTGTGAAAATTTTGCAAATTAACGCTGATTTTTGTTGTTTGACTTCTGAATTACATATAATAATGTTAAGTATGCATATAAAAATAATATGGCTTGGAAATTACAAAATAAAATTGAAGTAAATAATAAATAAAACAAATGAAAAATAAATACTACAAATAAATATGATGCTAAGTTTTTAATTTTATTAGTTATCACTTTTAAATTTAAATAGTATATCAAAAGCGAAATTGAATAAGCAATTGCTAAAAATTAATTGTACTGTAGTTTCAGTGAATAATTATTTGTAACCCAAGTTCAGCTCATGAAAACATGAATTTTAAGAAACTCACAATATTATTTATGGGATATTAGGAGTTTGGATTATAATCTGAAGCCTGCAGTTTCAGAAATCATTTTTTGGAATGCCGTCAGTTGAAACTGCCTCTGAAAATAATTATCACCTAAAATGCTTTTTGTAAAATTTAAAATTTTGCTACTTTTTTTAAAATCTTTGGTGCATTTTCAGCAACATTCAAGTAAATATTTCAGTACATTCTTACTTATTCAACTGGTTGCATTGGCTTTTACGCCAGCCCTGACTGACTGTTTAATACAGTAAACCCTTGCTGAACACCAATTTCCCAAACACGTTTTCGCTTATATGTGGTATCTTATCTATTTCCATTTATTTTATCCAACATTAGAATTTCATTCATACACGGTTCATCATTCGTTCATCAACACTGAATGCCTCCTGGCATCAGTTCTGGCAAGAAGTTATCAATAATTTAAAGGATTTCCATCAACTGAAAGTAAAGTTATTGGAATCAAACATATTACAAAATTAATTGGCAGTGAAACATTTTTCAATTTTGAAAGAAGAAGAAGTCAAAGAATTAATCTACAAATGATAATGAAGACTTGGATCATCTAATCACACAGCAAAGAGCAAGCCTGTCAAGATCTTGTCACTCCAGCAATGAAAATGAAGAAAAATTAAAACTCTTCTGAAGAAGTCAAATGAAATTTTAAAAAATAAAGGGCACATGAACTGCCTGATTTTGCAGTACAGATTGAACAAAATGAGGAACGAAGAGTACAGTTTATGATAGGCATTGAAAAACTCTGCATTTCTTAAGGCAAAACTTTTAAAAAACCATGTCGCTTATTGTCCCAAGCAAATCATCAATTTAAAAAAAAGTATCGCATACTTATTAAGTAGTTATAAAAGTCATTTTCAATGAACACTCAATTCACATTTTTCTGTTTTAATTACAATAATATTTAGGTTTGTTAATTCATACTTTGTTAATCTGAATTATACCTAACACACTTTTTTCATAGAAAATTAAATATTTGCAGAATGCGATTTTTGTGTATATGCAATGTATTAATGATGAACCCGTTTGGCAAAGTTTTATTGTAAACTGTAATTAGAAAAGGTTACTTTTCTCTCAATTAATTTTAAAATAAGCATCAGTGTTAAATAGTAACTAAGTAGAAGACAAAAATCGGTTAACATAAAATCTGTGAGCCTTATAAATTTCAACAGTGAAATGTGGATGGTTTTGGTGACATCTGGTGACAGGTTTTTCTCATTTAGTATTGAAGCAAGCTATGATGTTCTGTTAATTATCATTTTTATAACTAAAAGTAATAAATATTTTAAGTCATTATACTTGTTCCTTAATTGAAGATTATTGTACTATGTGCTATTTTAATCAAGCAAGACTGCGGTAATTACAATTTCCATACTCCTCCATTAATGACTCAGTAGTCGAAACATACACAAACATGTCAAAGATAGCAAAAACTTTACTCCGTGAAGTGTACGAAGTACTGTGTCTTAATATGTTTTGATCCAGAGAAGTTTTCCAAGTAGGATTATAATTTGGCTAACAGAATTTTGTGATTTTTCTAAATGATGAAGAGGCCTACCAGCACCGAGCGGTAAAGTCGCTGAATACTGGTAGTTTGGTCCGAGGTTCAAATCCCGCAAACGGGCTGGCTGCATGGGTGTTTTCATGGTTTTCCCCATGTGTAACGTGTATACAAGCCAGTTCTCTTAGAAAATCCTCCACGAAGGCAGATAGCCCTCGATAGCCATAATCACACACACACACTAAATGATGAAGAATCTACGAATCTAAAGTTAAAGATTTTCTGAGAAGAAATGATTTATAATGAAAAACGTTGCTCAAATAGTCACAATTATATTTTTTAACAAAGCATAACAAAGCATTTTGAATGTATCACTAGGGTTGCTATAATATTTCAGAGTAAATTTTACATCAGTATGAATATTTGGTACAATTGCTGTTCTTTTATTAGAAAAATACAGAATGTTTAATTTTTATTGCATCTAGAACTAAAGTTTTAAATAAACACATTGTTTTCCTGCAAGTAATAATGGAAAAAAATAATTTAGAGAAACAAAGACATATTATTGATCAGAAAGTAATGCAGGAAGTAATAATTTTGTATAATTTGAGGAGAGGGAGAGACAGAATATAATATCCTAAAATTTTAAAACAAATTATTATAAACAGCTGTTTGAGAAATATAAACGATAAAATTTTTATATGCTTTTAATTTTCATTTCCTTTTCATATAAAAATAAAATACCTTTATAAAAATATTAAAAAGAATTAATTGCTTTTATGTACCTTTTTCTAAATGTCAGACAAATGAAAAATTATCAGAGAAAAACAATCTAAAAAAAAAAAAAAAAAAAAAAAAACCACGGGTGTTAAAATTTATTTCCCAAAAGTCAAAAAGTAAACTTACAGATCGTACCAATCAAATAATTAAAAGTTCATGTTTTAAATTGTAACCAATAAATAAAAACTGTCTTTAAAGAAATTCAAAGAAGACGTACTGTAATCTCTCTTTTTCTGGCAAAAAACATTTTTCTGCCTAAAATTTGATAAATTTTCCCAATCCATAGCTTTTCTGTCCACTTTTTGACGAGTTATTGTTCGTCGAGAACAACTATGTTCGACGAGAAACATAGTTGTTCATCTTTTCATTTTGAAGCATAACTGAGCTGTATCTTCTATCTTTCTTAAAAGTATAATTGCCTTTCAGAAATAAGCACTACCATTTAAAGAAATCACCACTTTTAAATGACTGTGTCATGTGTTATAATAGATAAGCATAAAAACACTTTCTTCATCCAATGTATATTTTAGTTCTGCAGTTTTATTTTGAAATGCTGCAGAAGTATTATGAAAATTATAACTTTCTTTTGAGAAACTTTTCTTAATATTCTAGATGCACATTTCCTGTGTATATTTCTTTTAATTGTGTCATAATAAAGCATATGATGAATTAGGTTTTTGTAATGTTTTAAATTATTTCATTAGATTGTGTTGTAAATGCTGATTTCCATTTGCTCATATTTAATTTTCAAATTTATTAATCAAATTTAGTCTGGAAATTGTTTAGTGTTATCAGGAAATTTAAAAGTTGTATTTCAGTGATTTAAAAATTTAACTATTCTGTTTTGTAACAGTTCATTTCTTTTATAAAAGGATTTATATTGCTTAGTTGTTTTATTTTATCTTTTTATGTATGCATATGGATATAACTTATTATCTTATTTTTTATAATTTTAGAATCTTCGAGTAGTCATTGATGGGTATTCTGGATTATTGAAAGAAATAGTTTTACTCAAAACTGGAACACGAGTTCCTGTGAAACAATCATTTTACTACTATGAGGGTATGCCTGGGTATAGAATAGAAAGAGCATCAGGTGCCTATGCTTTTAATCCTCAACATGATATTGCATATCCCTTAGCTGAAAATATTACTTATAGAGTTTTTAAGGTAATTTTTTTTTTTTTTTTGCTGTATATGTGTGTGTGTGTGTCTACCTGGTTTATTTGGAAAATTATACGTAAAACATAGTTGAGATTACTTTAAAACTACATTAATAACCTTTTTTCATTGATAGGGATAATAGCTTTAACTAATACCAATTTTTCTCCTGAAATCTTCAAAATATAATGAACTTATTGTACCATCCAGCTCAGTGGCATGGCATAGGCATGGCCGCCCGGGGCAGATACTAAATTTGCCACCCCTTCCTGCTACAAAATGTGATATTATTATAAAGATGAAATTTTCTAGTGCAAAGAAAATTAAGCTACAAAGAGAATTTTATTTTCTCCAAAATTTAAAACTCTCACAAACTCGAAAACAAAATTTAATTATGAAAATATGTTTTACATTCTAACATTTATCAATTATTATCTAAAAACAGTATTATTACTTTGAAAAAAATTATTGTTAATTGAAAATATTAATAAATATTCAAAACATAATTGACTGCTGCACTATAATAAATATTTTTTTCATTGAAGAAAATCATTTTTAACAACTTTTTGGAATAAAAAACATATTTTAATATAAATAATTGTAGGTAAGAATTTATTTAATCTTTTATTAAAAAGAAATAATTGCATAGCAAAAATCTTTAATAGCACTATCAATATCAATTGAATCAGTCATTTCATACTCATTAGCCAAAATAGCATGTACTCATTGTGGATCGTAAATAATTTTTGATTATCTTCAGTTTAGAGAAGCTTCTCTCACAGTTGGCATTGCTTATCTCAGTTGTGAGGAATATTCGAAGCAATATTATTATATTAGGCAGGGAAATTTCCAGCTTAAATTGCACAATAAACTTTAACACATCAATTCATTAATTCATTTTTATTGCCCGTAGCATCAGCAAAAGTCTAGCCGCATGTGTTCGAGCTTGAACTCTTCTTTGTCAATGTCATGGGACACCTGTTCTAAATTGAAATCTTGGTCTTCAACATCCAGTAGTTTCGATGGTGCAAGAAAAGCAAATTTGTTCGACAAATTCCATAGCTGTTGACACCTATCATGAATTTCTGCAGTTACCTAATCCAGCAATGAAAATAACTTTCCTCTCAACTCGTTTTCATGGGACAAAGCTGCATCTTTACTTCCGTCGTCAAAAATTCGTTTCCTTCGTATTCGTCTGGGCGGTTCCATTAAAATGCCAAGGTCTTCGTACAAATTTTTGGCGTAACTCAAAGCACCCTTTACCAATTCTTTTCGTTTCTCTATGAGCAGTGCCTGCAAAGCACTTTTTTTTTTTTTTTTTTTTTTTTTTTTGCACACTGATGCACGTTGAATCCCTGTGTTTGTAAATAAATTTGGGCATCATAAGGAGAATAAGCCATTTCTCCCCAAGACCATTCCTAAATTTTATTCAGATCTCCTACGTTCTTTGTGTAGGGGTATCGTCTGCATTCGTAATTCATTAAGCAAAGGATCACTGTTTGGCCATCTCTGATCCCCCTCCCCCTTCATTCACATTGCCAGAAGATTGGAAAATATACCCAATGGGGAAGTCTGCTTTTCTTTCATCTCACCTACTAATATAGGTTGATATTCAAAAACGAAATCCCGCTCCTACCTCTCTCTCTCTCACAAATGCACACACTGCATGTATTCAAAAAGCATCCTGTAACACCTGTTGTTTAAAATAAAAACTGTCGTAAAAGTAAAAATTTTTCCGTGTTTGATAGTTGCTTTTTAAAGACAACTTTCAAACACTAACACTATAAGAATTTAACTAACTGAGCTCTTGTCGGAAAGAACAATTATTTTTTATTTATTTTGATAATTTAGTTCAGCTTAAAAAAAAAAAAAAAAAAAAAAAAAAAATTCGTTCCTCTCTTGTGTATATGCTTGCTTTGGAAGAAATTTTCTTATTGTTTAATGACATATCTTTCGCCATCAAAAAGATGTAAAGCCACATATTTTATTTTGGTTTCAAGTCTACCCGTAGTGCATCCAAAAAAGGGGAAGTAATAAATACTCTCTACGAATTTTCGCAACCTCAAGTAAGGTATCTCGATCTGAGATGACATTTTAAACATCCTAGATACAATGGAGTTTTGAAGGACAGTCACTCAGTGGAGGAAGAATTTAAAGATACGCTTAAAATAAGATACACAGTGCCATTTTCCTCTTTCTCTAATGGGAAAAGGGATAGAATCTAGAAAGTACGAATGTTAACACAAATGGAAAAGTTAAATACGGATACTTAGATGGGATGACTCTTTTAACAGTTAAAGCATGGTAGTTGCCGCACTGCGTATTGTTGCGTATGTTTTTGGCTTCACTGTTTCGCGTAGTTGAATTTCCTCTAATCTCCTTAATATTTATTCAATGATAGGGAATTTGCCGCCCCTAGCAAAGTGCTGCCCGCGGAAAATCCCCTCTTTGCCCCCCCTCGCTACGCCACTGATCCAGCTTTCAAACTTCCTTTTAGATTTAGTAATGCAAGAAGTCCAGAGAGTTGATTTGTTAGTTATTGGTTAATACAGGTCATGTGCATTTTTTTTTTTAAATTTTTTTCAGTTTACTAATTGGTGTCAATTTTAGTATTGTATGATTCTAAATGTTATGAACTGAATGGTTTAAGAAGCTTACTTATATACTTTAATTTTCACATCATTACTTAACAATTTAAGTCGTAACAAATTTTGTTCTAAGGATTATTTTCAGAATGGCCTATCCTTGCATATTTAGTGTGAACTATTTGTCTAGCAATGAAATATTCTATTTCTTGTTATTTATTGGATATTTATTTAATAAATAATATTGGTGGCAGCAATAAACTGTGTTTTCATATTATATTTTATTATGTTTTATTTATATACATAAAATCATGTTTATGTATCATAAAACATGTTTTATTTATATACATTTTATTATATATACAAAATCATTTTATTAAAATTTATTGCAGTGCAGTTACCAAGAACAAACATCACTATCTGATCACTTTGTATGTATATATCACACAAAATTTTACTAATTAAGTTTTAGTTTGTAAGTATGCATATATATATGTATATTTACAAACTAAAGCTTCTTCTCTATTTAATATTTTGAAATTTTCATTTAACATTGGGGAATATATTTGAGGCTTTCTAATCCACTATAGTTTTCTTTTATGCTCACTCATGGCATTAACAGAACAATATTTAAATCATTTTCTTAATTTTTAAGATTAGTTTTATAAATAAGCAGTATTATCTCATTGGTTCCTTAATTTTTTTAAATGAACATAAGTGTCATCATATTCATAATCATTGAACTATAATCATTATTAACAGATGTTATATAAGCGTAATATTGATTATGCAGACATCCATAGAAAGAGAGATGTTGTACCAAGTGCTTTGAAATGTCTCGCTTTGGAGACCATTGCAGCTAGATATCCACTTACTCAGTGGCTGCACATTTTTACTGATGGTTCTTAGTTTGACTGTCATTTTAAAGTTGTGGGCTGATGTGTTTCGAATCTTTTTTCTTTTTACACCCCTGAAAGATACACTGGTACCTCCTTTGATGGTAAAGTAGTAACTATCTGTATAGCTCTAAAGCAATTAATAGCTACAAGTTTGCAAAAGAAGTCATTTTTTCAGATTCTCACGCAGCCATTCAATTAATTAGCTCTGCTGAACACCCATTAACACCTGAAATTTGGCAATGTCAAGAATTTTTTAGAACTCTCATTTTAAAAGGGAAACAAATTGTTCTCCAATGGGTGCCTAGTCATTGTAGCAATGAACAAGTGCACTTCCTTGCAAAAGAGGAGCCAACTTACCATCCTAATACAGCCATTTCTTATTGGAGGATTAAACTGTTTTTAAAAAGTTTATTTGTGTTAAATACATCACGGGATCTTCAGACTCTTACAGCCTTAAAAGGTTAGACAATGGTAAGTCTCTCTCTTATTCCCGATATTCCAAAACGCAATGCAGTTGCGGCTTTCCGTCTGTCTACCGGATGTGATTGCCTTGCCGACCACCTGCACCACATAGGCATTTCAAGCGATCCTATTTCCCCACTTTGTGATTCTGGAGAAGAAATGGGCAGGGACCACCTGCTTTGATGTGGGGCTCTTCGTGGTCTTATAGAGGAGTCGAGACATTGGGAGGCAAGAGTGCTTCTTAGGCAATGACTTTTGTTATAGTCCTATTGTGTGTAACCTCTGTTTAGAAGATTTTAGTTCTTTGTAACTTTTTGCCTAGCCATTGGAAATAAAAAAAAAGTTATCAGTCACTACTTGATGAAATCATAAATGTTTTTAGTTATTTCACATGTATTTTATTTTTGTGTAATTGCATTTAAATCTTATATTATTTGATTTCATAAATGAGATTATGTTTTTTTAAAAAATTTATTTAACTTTCAAATTAATTTAAATAGGGAAATGTAATCTGAATGCTGACCAAAAGTTTATTTTTTGTCCTAGGGACCATTAGTTGAAGAAATCCATCAATATTACGCACCTTGGATAAGTCAGATTATACGTGTATATAAGGGGAAGAAACATGTGGAATTTGACTATGTTATTGGGCCTATTCCAGTACAGTAAGTATTTAAGATATAAATTTAAATCAATTATTATTATTTTTTTATTTGCAATTTGAAATTTTTTTCATTTTTTATTATTTCTTTCTACAAAAGAAATTTAGTAAATGTTAAGAAAGAAATTATCATGCAGATCATATGGCATCAGAAGAGATTGATTTGATTTTTCATTTTAAATGATTTCTGATTTGAAGCTTTCTTTTTCTTTTTTTCCTCCTCACCCTTCTAAATCTATTCAGAGAATTCATTCATAGCTTGCTACTTGTTTGAGATTTTGGATACTTAAAGAAGTTTAAAATTTAGATTGCTTAGGGATGAATAATTAATCAAAACTTAGCCGTAGCTTAAAAAATATTCAATAATGATTTATCGAATTCTAAACTGTTATATCTTTTAAATGCAGTTATATACAAAGAAAATGTCAGTAATCATAATAAAAGCAAAAAAGAATTAAATGATAAACAAGTTTTAAGCATTTTCACAAAATACAGAAAATGTTAAAAAGAAAAAGAAGTACCTTGACATTTTTGGTCATATGCGATTAAAATTGTGAGGTAGTTAACAAAGATTTTTTTTAAAATCAAAATTACCAAAAAGAAGTCTAATTGAATTGACACAATCCCATACTCGTCATTTATATGCTGATGCTTCTGCTGCTTCTTGAAATTTCATTATAGCTCTTATGTGAATGCCTCATGGTTTATTTTTAGTTACTTAACTAAGATCATAGGCTTTCTATGCATTTCTTTGGAGATCATGTGATTGAACATATGATGATCATATGATTATGTGAGATCATAGGATTTCAAATGAACTTCTCTTGTGAGAAGTTGCTATGCAATATGGCTCTGGGGGAAAATGCAGAAAATAAGCTAATAAATATTTTTTACCTTTTTTTTTTTTTTTTTTTTTTAAATAGGTAAAAACATTTTTTAAACATCATTTTATCCCATGGTGAAGAATGTGAAGTTTTATAATATATATTTTATTTTTTTTTTGTTGTTTGTTTGTTTGTTAAGCAAAAGTGTACACAGACAATCCACCAAATATCATTTCTAGATAAAATTAAAATTAAAAAAATTCAAATTTTAAAAAAGTGCTTTGAGATGCATATCTTTATCATCTAGACCAGAGGTCTTCAAAGTGAGACATGTAAAGTGATACTTAGGGGAATGAGGAGGAGTTGGCTCATGCTCAGTTGTGTGTGTATGATTGTGTACTATGTGAGTGCAAAGATCCTCATTGGTTGCCGTGTCTAGCATCTTCATTGGTAGCTTCATTGGTGCATCTGGAGAAGGGGTTAGTTATGATGTTTTGAGCATCTAGGGAACTCAACATCATAACTACACCGGCTTTAAATCACATGCATATTACATTATATTTGTTAACAATTTACAGTTATTTTTGTCTTAAGGGTGCATGATGAAAAATGTTTGGAGATGATTGATCTAGACAACAAGTGCATTAAATGGCATAGCTTTCAGCCTGTTTCTGCAATGTTTAGTATGCACACACTCACAGATATAGACTAATTCTCTGTTTTATTATTATACATTACATACCTTTATTTATTTATTTTTTTTTTTACTGTATTTACTTGTTTGTCTACATATCATTAAAAATATTCATTTTCATTGAAATCTATTATTTCTTATATATCTTATGTCATTTTCAGCATAATTAATAATATTTTTCTTTAAATTATTGTACATAAATATACTTAACTTTTTTTAATCATTAGTGACCACATTGGAAGAGAAATTATAACTCGCTTTGATACACAGCTTCAGAATAATGGAACATTCTTTACAGATTCTAACAGTAGACAAACTGTAAAAAATGTGTGAGTACTTATTTTTGATATATATATATATATATATATATACATATATAAACACTGATGTCCAAAATTATTTTTACATTCATACAGATTCCTCGGAAACTGTGAACTATAATTTTATGAATTTGTGTGGAATGATACATAACATCATAATGCAAACAGCATTGCATATGGTATAAAATTGTAGCATAAAAAATGGCAATATATGTTATAAGCAGAGTTCAGAAAAAAAAATATAATTTAGAAAAAAAAAAAAAAAATTTTAACCTGTGAATTTAATATGGAATGTGATCTCCCCTGTCTAGTATATCTAATTACAATGTGTTTTCATGCTAGCAATAACATTGTTAATGCAGGTTGGAGAATTAAGTTTCACTCCTCCATGATCTTCAGAGTATTTACGTTATTAGGAGGAGGATGTCTCCGTGCAGTTGCTCTTCCGTGGTAGTCCCATAAGTTCTCCATCGGGTTAATCTCATAAGCAGTACTGAAGACTAATCAGTGCAGTACAATGATTCCCTGAAAAGATGCTAGGCAGAGGAAGCAAAATTTGATACTGCTTGGTGAAAGTGATTCTAGTCACAAAACTGTGAACTTTCAGAGACCAAAGCAATAATTTGCAAAAACATTTAGTTCACAATTTAAGGTTTCCGAAATAAGCGAGCCCTCTATGCAGTAAATCTGAGAAAAGATTCCAGGAAGAAAATTTACTGACATTGATGCCTTCAGGCTATTAAATTTGGGATATTGGTTAGATTAGAAAGTTATAATGATTTGTTTCGAATTGAAAGAACAATTTTGAAAGAATATAAACTAAAGTGCTGAAGTTCTGTTTACAGAATAAAATGCATAATGCATTAATTTGCATAATCATGTTCCATGTAGTGATAAAAGGCAAGGCTGAGAGAATTTTCGTCATTCTGAGGCCAACTGGCTTTTGATAGCTCTTACCTTATGGGACTGTGCTTTGTTAGTTAAGCTGTATTATCGGTGGAAAGAGGATGCAAGTATTGCCCTTTGGGAATTTTGGTGATTAAAGAAGTTGCATAAAGGACATAATGATCATAACATAAGAAATATGATTCAGTGATTTCAAACTACAGGAACTCTAATAGCGCAGCCAGGCCAGGGATGCTAAGCAGTTAGTCAGCAACAAGTCGAAGAATTTGCAACTGCTATTGGTGAAAAGGAAATGGTGAATGTGCAGGGTACTGGTAGTGCTCGGACAGTATCCCAGCACACACAGATCCCATACTTAAATGGTGTGAAAGATCCCACATTAAATGCTGAAGTTTTACCCATATAAATCTCTTCTGTTCAAGAATTGCTCCCTGGCGATGTGGCCACTTAATCTGAATTTTCATTGAATTCTTAGCATGCATGCAAGTTGATGCTACATGGCCATTTCAGATTTTATATAGTGACAAAGCACAGTTTCATATGAACAGTGGTATTAACACACACACAACTGCTGCATTTGGGTTGCAAATAATCTGCAAGCTTGTTGCAGGAGCCTCTCCATTTGTCAAAAGTCACAGTGTGGTGTGGCTTCATGGCATCTTTTATCACCAGTGTTTACTTTTACAAAGAAAATCATGAAAGTGGACAAGTGACCTATAACATTACTCCTGACAGGTATACTGATATGCTACAGAACTTCGTGGTTCGGCAACTGCAGAAATGAGGATGTCTCGATTTGACAATATTCATACAGGATGGTGCACCACCCTACATTGGACTTAAAGTGCAACATGTGTTGCGGCAACATTTCTCTGACAGCTGAGTCATTAGTCGTGCATTTCCTATGGTATGGCCACCAAGATCACCTGATCTCATTCTTTGTGAGTTTTAGTTGTGGGAATTTCTTAAAGGTGTTATGTATCAAGGGCATGTCTCTATCACAACTTTGAAAGATAGAATAATGTTAAAGGTGAGACAAATTAATTCTGATATGTTGCGAGTCGGTGTGGAAAATGTCATGCAACGTAAGCACTTCTTGGAACATCTCAGCAGTGCCCATATTGAACTCCATTTGTAAGTAACAATAATTTTTTTATTAACAAAATTTAACTGTGCTGTGTCATTTGGAATTTAATCATTCATTATTCACACTGATACCGTTTTGCAGTGACAACATATCTCCTGATGACGATTTTTGATATTTTTTTTAAGAAAGCGATCATGGAAAGTATTTTATAACATCAATATTAATTCTAAAATTGGATACTAATGCATGCTTATCATTTTCCTAAATTTCAGCAATATTCTTTTTTTGTTTAACTGGAAAGCTATTAACACAGTTTAAACTGTTAATTGGATTGTGATAAATTTATTTGGTTAGTTAAACGTCAGCATGTATTGTATAATAAAATTTTATACAGTGACATGCACATAAACTGAGGTGCTTACTGCTCTCGATAATATCATGACTAGTCTTGAATAAAAATTCACAAGTTTTTTCTGCAACAAGGCAGTTATGTGAAAAAGTTTTTCACCATTTAATTAGATTTTATTAAACATCAGAATCAATTCAAAGCTTTTTTTTTTTTTTATCAAACTCAAGTACTGAAATTTACATTTACTGAAAGTTTATACTCATTGAAAATATTAAAGTAAATTTTGGTAGACCTCAATACAGTTGTTATGTTATAATCCTTAATACTGTAATAGCTTTTTAAAAATGTAAGCAACCAAGACTCATAAGTTGACAGATATTTTACAAATCTGTGGATTTGTAAAATATCTGTTCAATATTTATAAAATATCTGTCTGTGGAAAAAAGATGATTGAATGAATTTCTGAATTTTAAAGAAATTACACTTAGAATGATTATAAATAAAAATATTTTAAATATATGTTGTGATGCATGTATGATTTTATCCTTGTGAAAAATTCTTGTGGATGTTACGATTTAAAAATTGGGCTCTGTAATGGCAAAATATATTTTTTTCACAGTTTATTAAAACATTAAAATCCTTTTTTGAACTCTGAATTTTCATTAAATGAATTAAATGTATCTTTATCTAATTATTAAAACTAATTTTTTTAAATATATTACTATGATCAGATGATTTGTTATTAATAAACCTCATTCATAATTATTAAGGCTAGTTCAATAGATTTGATATAAAGCTATTTTGTATCCTTCTAACTATTTTAATATCTTTTAGGCGAAATTTTCAAGAAACCTTTCCTTGGAATGTAACTGAAAGAATAGCAGGAAATTACTATCCAGTTACTTCATGGATTTACATACAGGTGAGCCTATTTTATCATTACTGTATTCTTAAAAGATCATACATTTCAGTTAAGGAATTGTGCAAATTGCCTTCTTTCCCATCATTTGAAAATTTTAATAGTCTATACTATTAGTACTATTCAGTCAAAATAGTAGGCTAGCCACATATGTATGGCCTACTAATGGCCAAGAGGTGAGACTGCTAAATGTTGTAGTTTGGCCTAGATTCAGATCACAGGTTTCTCATGAAGGCATCCTTCCCATTAAGCAGATATCTCTATTGCGTGTTGCCTTAATATCAACAATGCAGTCCAATCACATTATAGGTGTACTACAAATGATGCATATGTACTATGAAGTATTCTAACAGCCCCATAAAATTAATTAAAGAAGAGAAAAAATAAAATATTGTATTGAATTTTGTACATAAATAGATGATTTTAGTTTAGTTATATGTGAAATTGTATTTTTTGTGTAATTTAACACACAAAGTCTAGAGAGAAAACTATGCCGGGATAGTAAGAATTCAGGGGCAAATCCATTTAACATTGAGTAAAGGGGTACCTCGGTAATTTGGCGAGATATCGCCAAGCTGGCAGCAGTTTCGGTGACTAATTTTTGTTGCCAAATTTGGCGATCATTTTGGTCTAGTCCCTGAATCACCATAAGTATTTTAATTGAATAAATGTAATTGATCAATATATTAGCTGTAACCATAATTCGACCCTCATTTTGCCTTCCAGTGATTTCGAGAAGCAGAAAGTACTAGAAATATCTCAGCGGGCAGGTGAAAACTGTAGAAAGCCAGAGAGAGCAGCTGCTGTCAGTTGTGGTTGTTAGCTTTTAGCTCAGTTTGAGTTTTGAGTATTATCTCCAGTTTAGATTTGCGCTTTGCAGTGTGTTGTGTGTTTAACGTTCATAGTAATTTGAAGTGTAACTACTGATTGTACTCTGTGATATTTTGAAGAGTTGTACGACTACTTTTGTGGAAAATTCCAGATCTCTGAAGTGTTTCTTTTGATAAAATAAATTTGAGCAACCCATCATCGGAGCTGTGTGCATTCAATCTATTATGAACCCTTACGCACGCAACAATATTTTAATTATATTTTTTTGTTATTTAATGTTCTGTTAAAAACATACATATTATGATAACAGTAGGAATTTCGGTCAATATAAAAAATATTATTTTGTCAAGGATCACAGCTTGTGAAATATTATTAAAAATTATCACAGTAGTAAAATTTACTGAAATAGTTTGGAACATTTGCTTCTGTCTGTAATATTATGCCTTCTGCACTTGATTTCTGTACCTAAATTTTCATCAGTAATATTAGATTTTTATTTTTGTTTTACACAATTTTTTGTTGAAACAACTAATTCATAGATTTGGATTACTACATGTGGATGATAGTTCTATAAAATCACTTTCCTGTTCACATTTCTAATACTGATTTGTCTTTTTTCAAGTTTGTCTTTAAAGTAATAGTACTTCACTTTCAGAGAAAAAAAGACATAATATTCAAGCATCAAAATTTCAGATATATTTAATGGAAAATGTTATATTAATTTTATTAAAGATTAAATCAAAACTAAAGTATTGAATGGTAAATTTAACTAAAGCACTTGAAATGGTTCTGTCACAGTAGCCATTTCAAGTTTACCACCACCACCTAGGCAGTAGCTGTTATATTTGGGGACAATACAGATATGTACTGTTGATTAGTAATGAAATGTTATGATTAACATATCTTTTTTTTAAAAGAGAGCAGACTTTCTTTTCCAAATACATTAAATAGAGATATAGTAATTTAATGGCAATTTAAATGTGTTTCAGAGATAAATGTATCGTTACATAAAACATTGTGCTATGAATTCTCAAACAAATTTGAAAAGTGAAATTCAGTCCATCTTCGTTCTCTTAAAAATCAAATTTTATGCTTCTTATAAGACTATCAACAGTTGAAATTACAACACTAATTGGATATATAATGGGTGTAAATGAATTTAATACAACTTTACTGCATGGGATTGATTCTTCTAAATCTAAAAGTTAAGAGGACATTCTTCAGACAAATATGGATCTAAAACTGGAAACACAATCACATCAATAAATAAGCTTTTAACGAGTTTTTTAATTCCATAACTAACTATTAATTTCATTACATTAACTTAAATCATTTCCTGGTTTTTATGCTATGAATACCTTGTATCATGATGTCCATGTTGGCTCATACTAAAATCTCTAAGCAAGTGCCATGGAAATGTGCATTTTTTACATTGAAAGGGATGAAGATGGTCTTAAAATGCAAATTAGTTTCTTTATAAACTGAATCCTGTCAAATTTTCCAATTACTGCACCATCAACCTGCAGATCAGCAGACAAGTTAGCTATATGGAACATGCAGTAATTCTCTGTGAATCAAAGGTCAGTGTTTGCTAACTAAAGACTTAAGATAATATTAAAAACAGGTGCAAATAATAAATGTAAAATTTAAATTCATATTGTATTTGTACTATTAGTATTATAATGAAGACTTCTGTTATAAGTTTATGGAATCAAGAAAAGCTTTAAATCAGTACACAGGGTCAGTGCCAGTGCAGCCCCATATTTTAAAATTGAGAAAGGCAATGTTGGCAGAATTTAGGAACTGTTAAGACTGCACAGAGCATTTAAAACTTAGCATCAGGCCTGTCAGAGTCATCTAGTGTTTGAAAAAGTACATAGAGTGTCATTGAATTGTTCACTGACAAAGGAAGGCTTCATTTTTCCATGCAGTTATAAAGACTTGGTTTGAATAAAACTACATTGAACACTGTATTCAACTACTGTATTTTCTAGTTTACAGTCTATGTAATTGACATGCTAAAAATCATCAGCTAAAAAGGCCAGTTGATGGTGTAACATATCATGATGTTAATTAGCCCCTTTCAAATTTTTTATTTGTAAATCTTTTTTGGTCATAGGTGGTAGCCTTAAAACAAGCACACATTTAAGGATTCGTATAAATATAAATAGAATGGTCATTCATCTGTTAAAGATACTTTTTAAAGAAAACTATGAAACTTAAATGAGCATGTATTGAATTTAAGAGACTTTGAAGTACTTTACACAATTGATTAATAAAGAATTTTTTATTACATGTGTTTTTCTTTTCTAAGGATGAAGCTGAAGATCTTCAGCTTACAATTTTGCCTGATAGAGCACAAGGAGGAAGTAGTGTTACTGACGGATCTATTGAGCTAATGGTAAGTTAAACACACACAATAAGAAAACTTTAATCAACCTGTTTTAAAAATTGTTATAGTGTGAGTATTACTATTATTTTGAATAAACATATTTCTATAGCGTTTATATATTTAAAAAGAATGTAATGTATTCATAAGGATATTTCTATATTTGACTTGAATATTTAGTAATAAAGTTTTACATCACATTAGTAATGTGATCTGTTTGTGATAGCAATGATACAAATTTTTTACTTTGAAATTAATGAATACTTCTTTGAAAATACATTCAAATTTTAAAACTGTCTATATGTATTTTTAACATTAAACCTTTTTTTAATACCTTGCAGGAAATCTCTTTCTAGTATGCTTACTGCTTTCAGTAAATAGATTTGGTATCTGGCAAAATAAAATGTGTGCTGCTTGAGGGAAATATATATTGCAAGCACAAGTAATCTAATAAAATAAATGCATCTTAAATACTTAAGTCCTTTCTTTAATAAATAAGTATGCAAGTTTTCACATTCAATTGGTGATGAAATCAAATGATAGCATGTTTTATTCCTAACAATTGGCATTGCCATTTTTAACAGATTATTTATTGTTTTATATTCTACATCTTGAACTCATGAGAGACTAAACCTAATAGCTTAGCCTAACTTTTTCATTTAAAATTGTTTCGTTTAATTGAAACTTGCATATCAAAATCAGACTGAACATTTTTTAAACTGAGTGATTATTTATATTTTTGAATTTTGAATTTTCTTTTTTTTTTAAATTTTAATTTCATTAATTTTTAATCTGAAATTAATAATTTTAATCTGAAATTTTCAGATTACAGTCATTAAAATTTTTCCACAATATTTTACTTTATTTCCCACAATCTTTTATTTTTAATATTTCTGCATAACTTTATGCTTAATTTTATTTCTAGTTGCACAGGAGACTGCTTTTTGATGATGGATTTGGTGTAAATGAAGCACTCAATGAGCCAGGGTTCGATGGCAGAGGTCTAGTAGTCAGAGGATCTCACTACCTTACTTTGGGACCTATTGAAGATATGATTCCATACACAAAGCGGTTAGCTAAAATGCGTTTTCATTATCCTTTGGTTGCTTTTTCAAAGCTAAATTTTTACAACTTGTCCCGATATTCACTTAATGAAGTAAGTAAACTAAGTTTTTAAAACGATTTTTATTGTTATTTATATTAAATTTATAGTTTTTTTGGCTAAAACTTAATTTACGTTCATATTTTTACCTTTCATTACCAAAAACTTGATAGATATCAGACTGACATAGTTCATGTTGAATCTGTTTAAGGTGTAGTAGTTTTTAATGGTTGGTTTCACATGCACAAATGATAAAATTTTCCTCTGCAACCCTAACGATAAATACATTGTCACTTCGGTGTCCCAACATTCGGATATGTGAACTCAAAAAACGAACGTACCACCTACTATGGTCGAGCCACGTTGAGACACCAAATTTAGTGATTACCTAAAGCACTTCGTAAATGTTATGGATGCAAAACTTTTAGGACATATTAATGATGAACTTCTCTCCTGCACATGCCTGACTATCACCGGACCCTCACTAAACAATTTCTTGAAAAAAATATTGAACACAACATTATCACTAACATTAGCGACCAGTCAAAATTGTAATTAAATTGGTCTTCCTACTAACATGGACACCAAAGATATAGCCAAAATTTTCACATCCTAAGGATATGCAGTACGTAAAGTTGTACAGTTAACTAAAAACAGACAACCTTTGCCATTCTACCAAATGCAGCTTTTACCAACTCCCAATATTTAAAGTCTTACTTCATCACAAACATGGCTCTTTTCATATTAAAATTGAAAAGTATTCCAACAAAAGTTCAATCCTGCAGTGTCTCAACTACTAATGATGGCACCAGTGCTCAGATGATTGCTTCTTAGCCTTCACTGCTGAAGGACTGCACTTTTAATTTAAAAAATCTGATGTGTACACCACATGTACGGAATATTAAATTATACGCATTTTTTTCTTGAATTGCATTTAAATTGATTGGATTGAATTAAATCTACTTCGAGATACGTACGTACAGACGCCACAAAAAATTCTCTTCAGAATTAATTTTAAAGCAGTTTTATAATTTTTTTGGAGGAAAAGTGTCTTTTATTCTGTCCTTACACACAGATATCACGCAAAAACATCATTAAATTGCATTCGACAGATGTCAAAATGGATATTTTCGTTGAAATATGTTGCCTGAAACTTTTCGCGATTACAATACTTCCTTTTTACTTCGTACAAGGAAGTAAAGAGATCAGAAATTTTTACTTTGCTTAAGCATTAGTACTTGATGATAGAGTAGAACAAATCATGCACTGTTGTCTGATTTAAATTTGTTTCCCTTTTATTTGATTAATACTAAATGTTAGAACAAATTGTTTTAAATTCTACAATAAAACTAATTTGTTTATAGAAATTACATATTGAAAATTCAGAACATTAAAATGAATTTATTGATCATAACAGAATTTTTTTATAATTGTGTGAAAATATTTAGAGTAATCAATAATGTTTTTTTTTGTTGTTGTTGTCGAAGGGATATAGCACTGTTTGTGTAATTAAAGAGATAGAAATTATAGACTGTTTTCAAGTGGGCTTGTAAATTTTACAAAGATTTAATGATTTAAACTTGCTAAATCTTTCATAATTTCTTCTTTGTATTTTGTTAAAATACTTGCAGCAATTATTTAAATTAAGATAACTTAAGCACTAATTTTTCTTTGTATATTTTAATTCAGTTTTTTTTTTTTTTTTTTTTTCAAAATTGATGTGTGAAAAAAGTCTAAAATTCTTTTACATTTTTATTTTAAATGCAATATACATATATTGACCGACAACGAACATGGTTGTGATGCCGTACCACACAGTCACTTTAGCTTCATGTAAAGGCACTCGTGCTGTATCATGAAAATTTTCATCAGTTCAGTTTAGTCAGCAGTTCTTGAAGTTTACGTTCCCAGCTATGGAGAAATGCGTCTCATCTGTCGATAATTTTTTTAGTGGCTACCTGCTGTCTTCATCATACCTGATGAGGAATGATGCAGATTGATGAGGAATGCAAGGATTGCTGAAGAATGATGATGATTAGTTCTTTGTGAATGTTTTATGCTGGAATTTTTGTCATAAGTACATTGTTCCAATGCCATTTATGGTTTGTTAATACGCTGATCAATTTGTGGGTGTTGCCACTTGAAAATTTTGAAATTTTTTGCTGTTGACTGAGTTAATAATTTTTTCTTGCTGTATTCATGAAGATTTAGAAATAATTAAGGATGAATGAATTATTTAAATATTCTTAATATTAAAAAATTGCTTTGCTTATTTACAAATTTTAATCATTTCAGTTTCGAGCCTTAAAACGCAGATTGCCTCAAAACATTCATGTATTAACACTCGAGAGACTGGATGATCATAGAATATTGTTGAGGCTGGAACATTTTCATGAAAAAGATGATGATCCCAATCTGTCTGAGAGTGTCACAGTTTCTCTGAATGTAATTTATTTTTTAAGTATTTTTTAAATGCATGGAAAATTATATAACTGATAAGGAATGTCTATTTATTTAAGCCTTCTGGTTATGTCAGTAACTTGTATATTATTATTAGCAGACAGTAACAGTATTGTGCATTATTATAAGTAGATATTAATAAACAGTAACAAATATCAATCTGGGTTATTTAATTTACTTCTGTTATTTATTTCTGACTTTTTATGGAGATTAATATGCATCGTGTATTTATTTTATGTTATATATGAATCTGTGATGAGGCCATGGGGGATATTTTTTGTATATAGTTTATACTGTCTTTCAAAATGTTTTAATTTTGCTGCCCCACTAGTCGCCAAGTAGTTAAGATTGCTGAATATTAGTAGTTCGAATGGGGTTTGAACTCAGACAAGTGGGCTGTCTGCATGAGTATCATCCTTAAAGCGAATATGAGTGTTTACCTCAGAAAGTCTTCCAGAAGAGGCATCCCTTCCCTTAGGCAGATAGACCTAGTGTGATTTGCCATATCAAATAACTTAATCTTCAGTTTTACTTTAGAATTTAATGATTGTTATGTTATATTTTTAGAACATTTAAATTTTTTTAAATATGTAAATAAATAAAAATTTAAACTCTACTAGTATTCAATGCTATAGATGATGTAGTCCTTAAACTAAAAAATACATTCAAAAATAATTTTAGTATTAATAATATAAGTAAAAAAAATATAAAGTATGTTATTTAAGTAAAACAGTTTCCTATTTAGCATGCCATAAAAGCTACTCACTACTATTCTCAATAAATGCCATAACTGCCCAGAAGATCTCTTCGTTTTTAAATATTCTAATTATTTTAAAATGTTTCTTTTTTCTTTAAAGAATCAGGCATTAAAAATGAAGTTTAAAATAAAATTTTGTTATATAATCCTAGATACAAATTTTAATATTCTAAATATTAAAAATTGTCTTATGTTTACAGTCAAGTTTTAAAAATGAAAAAAAATATATCTGTGCAGATCTAATTCTCTGTGGATAAAATTGTGAGAGTATATGTGTTGTTTATAATAATTATGTATGTAAACAACACAAAATATTACACTTTACATACACATTCTTATGATTTACTTTATAAAGTTCATATGATTTTTTATTTTTTAGAATCTGTTCAGACCTTTCAAAGTTATATATTATGAAGAAACAACACTCTCTGCAAATAAATATTTGTATGAAACTGAAAAGTTAAATTGGGCAATTGCAAATGGTGAAGATAATGGCTATGAATATTCAAGTAATCATCTACATAGAGGTACTTATTCCATTTCTTATATGCAATGTTGAATATCAATTTTTGTTATAAAAATAAAAAATTATAAATTGAACTAAAATCATATTTTCTGTGGTATCTAAAAAAATTATGCTATTTCATAATTAAAAAATTAAAATAATTATATATGTTGAGATCTCCCATAGAGGGCATTGTAGCACCCCTCAACTGTGTGAGAAAAGTTTCGATTTGAGTGAGAGTTGGCGTGGGTTTTGAGAATGTAGTGTGAAGAGCTGTGTAACGCATATTTGCTATGTAACTGTACTATGTAATATAATGTAATTAAATGTATTTATTTAAAATGCGGAGCAATTTTGAAGGAGCATACTTCACAATATATACTATACTATAGTTTTGACATCATTTATTTCACATTTTTATAATTTTGACTCGATTCTAATTTTTAATTTTATTCCTAGTTTAATATAAAGTATACTTTGTTTCCAAAAGTTAACCACATAATGCAAATTAGCAGTTTTTGAATGTGTAATTGAATTTGGCTGAAAATCGCTATTTATGAATATGGCAGGATGCAAATATTTTATGTTACAGCCAATCATGATTAACTATCTGAACGTGCTGAAGACACTTGCATTATGAAGAGTTTGAGTAGGTTTATTGAAATGCCAATACAGAGTGTTTATAATAACTTATAATAGTGTTAATAATATACATAGTGTTTATAACTTTCTTGGGATAATTTTTGATGATTTTCTTGTTTCTGTGTCTGAAAGAAGACAAATGGCAGCTAGTGAATGCTAACATGCTGCCAGATGCACTGAAGTATGATAGGCAATAAAAGTATTTAAATTTAATTAATTTATTTAAATTAAATTTATTTAATTAAATTCAATTTTTTCTTATGAAACACTTTTATTTAGTGTAGATCATTCGATAATTTCTCGACCAATTCCAGACAATTCTTACAGCTGTTTAGATTCTGTGCCCAGCCAGCATTACCACCCCTTCTGAAAGCGACCTCCACACCTGAAAGTGACCTTCATCATCCTCACCATGAAATATAGTAGCTGGCATTAATTATGCCAAGCATTTTTTAATGTATCTGGAGACACATCCTCCCAACGCGCATGCGTAAAGCATTAAAAAAAAAGGCAGTATGCGCATGCGTAAAGCATACAGAAAAAGTTTGTGGCTTTGAGGTCCGGATTATAGGTCATTCCGGATAATGGAAGTCTGGATTACAGACTTCGTACTGTATAAGTTTTGTTTGTTTATTGCTTAGCTTAAAACATCAGTTTGACCCAAATGTGATACCATCATACAATTTACAGAAACTAAATAAGTTTTATATACAAGTACATAAAGCTTATGCTTTAAGCTTTATGTACTTGTATATAAGAAAATAAGCTTTTAAGTACATAAAGCTTTTCTTTCATGCATAAAGATATTTGTTACCTTCATGTGCAGTGTTAGTCACAGCTTTACTTTTTCTTTTTTTTTTATTGATTTACCCTTGCTTGCTTAGTGTATCTACAGAATTACATTGAACATCTTTGTTTAGTTTAAAAGTATTGAATTCAGCTGACTATGGTAGGTAGATTGCTGGGTTTATCTATTAATGTTTAAAAACTATTCTGTTCCAGAAAATTATTGATTTTGTAAAAAGTGGATTGGTTACTTTCCCATCAGTTGTTTTTCGTTCTTTACGAATGTTCTCTGAAAATATTTGGCAAAAATGTAAAGAAATAAATAAAAAAATTTTATAATGGAGCGTGTGTACCCAAATGCCATGCTAAGATGGTATAGAACAGTGATTCTCAACTGGTGGTATGCAAAGAAAAAAAGTATTTTTAAGTATTAAATTAAAAAATCTCATGAAGAAAAAGAACAATTGATAGAAATTTTCTGTGATTGAATTCTAACTTAAGATTTAAAAAATAACACACTTGTTAACTTTTTCCTGAACTGAAAAAAAGAATTTAAAGGCATTTCAAATAAAGCTAACAAATTTTTGTCTTTTTGCACAACCTATTTGTGTGAACAATGATTTTCTTTTACGTTATATTCGAAAAATAAGTACAGAAAAAAAAAAAATAAAAGTGGGTCCTAATTTACAGTTAAAGCTAAGTGAAATAAGACCAGACATAAAGAAATTGATCTCTCTTAAACAGGCCACATTTCATACTAAATTTTAGAATGAAAGGTATTATAACTTAAATTTTGATAATCAAAATAGTAACCAATTTTAATCTAATATATTTTTATATGTGCATATTTAATACAAATAGCCAATAGGTTGTGCAAATGGCAAAATATATTTTTTAAAAATATTTCTATATAGAAATTGAAAAATAATCATTGTAAAATGTAGGGTGGTACTAAGGATTATCAATTTTTATTTAGATGGTATGCATTAGTCAAAAGGTTGAGAACCGCTGGTATAGGGTATTATTGAGCAATGGAAATATTCTATTGGCATCATTTCCTAAGCAGTATTAATCATTACCTCTCACATATGCATTTTATCTGTAGGGTTATAAATGGAAACAGAAAAGCTACTTCAAAGAGGTATATGGTAATCTTTCATTGTACCTTTTTTTAGTACTACTCCATTTCAGTGCAGCCCCATATATATAATTCATATTTATAAGCTTCACATTTATGATGCATACTGCTTGAAAATTTGGTAAAAGCTTGGAATATGCTGCATAGACAAAGTTGTGAAGGCGGAGCTATGCGATGTCCATAAATGGGTGGGACTAAGCTTGTGACGTCACAATGTATTCTTGCATTTACATTACACATACTTTCTATTTTCTGCTAAAAATAACAATAATGAATTGTTGTTTATTGTTGTACATTAACTTCTTTATTTTAAATTTAGATTTCTAATAGTTAAGCTTAGGTGTTACTGAAAATAAGTATAATAAATTGTTTATATTTAAAATTACCATGATACAGTAAATGAATTCTACCAATTATTAAAATGGTACATAATGTCTCAGTCTCTAATACTTGCATTTCATACAGTTTCAGTATTTTCAAAGATTTTTAAGCTTTAGCATTTATACAAATAAAAAAAGATTTTTTTAAGTTTAAATTCATATAGTGAAACATTTTAATTTTATCATTTTTACAAATTACCTTATTGCTATACATAATGACACAATCCCTTACATACCAGTAAGAATACAATCTTCATTATTTTCTAAAAATTTTAAACTTTATATTAATAAAAAAAAGAAAAGTATTTTTATTGCATATGGACATCATACACAGCTTTCATATCACTGTTTCTTAAATTCCTAAATCATGTCATATTCTCTGTAGGCATACTAGAATTCTACACATTAATAAAAAAAAACTAATTTCTCACACTGAAAGAAAATAGCTAAGAAAATAAATACTACAAATTTGGAACACTAAGCAATGCTTCACACACACATATTATCAAGTGCAATTATCATAGCAAACACTACATATTAAAATAATAAGGTAAAAGTTACTTATAGGGTTAAAGTTTACAGTTTTGCTACTGTTAAGTAGATTGTCAGAATATCAATGTGTATTGTAAGTCGGAAAGCATTATCAACATATTAAAAAAAACAATTAAAAATACAATTTAAATAAAAAAAGATGTCTAAATATAATTTATGACTAATACAACAATACAATTTTAAAATACACAAAAGATATATTAAACATTGCACAAATACATTACATTACAGCTCAGCTTCTCACACAACCTCGCTTTGCCCATATGCACAACATCGCTCAAAAAACAACAAAGAATTGTACAAACTCTGTGTCCATGTACACTTCGATTTATTTTCACTTAAAAAAACATACAGAATTGCAAAAACTTGGTACTATGCACTGCCTTGGCTTTGCCCATATACACATCAATCTATTTTCACTTAAAAAAATATCGGAGAATTGTACAAACTCGGCATTTCACACTGCCTTGGCTTCAACCATGTACACATTGATCTATTTTCACTTAAAAAAACATCAGAGAATTGCACAAACTCGGCATCGTGCACAACTTCATAGACAGTCATAGGCTTTCCAGCAGAAATAACAATGGATCCTGGCAGAACATTCTGTTTAATATTTTCTAACAATGACTTGGCACATCTGATTTCAACCACTCTAAACACGCATTTATCCGTTCCCTTCTCAAGCAAACCAAATATCCATCTTCCTTTGACTCTTTTCCCTCTATGATATTTTTGCTTACCAAATTTACTTTTGTCAATTTTCACAATCATCCCTTCCCCACCCAATATCATATTTTCCTTTAAGCATAACTCCATGCATACTTCCCTACAAAAACTTTTCCAATCTGTCACCATATTTTTAGCAATATGTAATTCCGATGGTATAAAATCATTCCCTCATTTACCAAACCATACAGGGTAACTCGCAAAACACTACAAATGTTCAATTTACTTTTCGCAAACCCTGATTTTTGAACAGACCTTGTAATTCGATGCTTACATTTGCCTCCAGTAACACATACACTCAAAACGATCTATACAGTTCTTTCGCTCAACTAGTTTCATATCAGTTTCATAAATTGGACATTTCTATGATCTTGCAATCAAACTTTTCTCTATACACCACTCAATGACACTTTTTTTACCTTTTCGCTACAACTGTAAAAAAAAAAAAAAAAAAAAATCCAAATTCAAATAATCATCCATATTGCGGAAAGTACCAAATCAGATACACTCATCAGTGATCAAAATGCTCTTTAAGCAAAGGAATACTTTTCTGTGTATTGAGCAGTTACGGTTATAATTTTTAAGTTGTACATACATTTTTTTCAGTCATTTGGTAGTGATTGTTTTTAAACATTTTTTAGAGATAACTTGTTGCACTAAATATTAATAGTATCACACAATACAGAAAAGTAGATTTATAATTTAAAAAAAAATATTGCAGAAAACATTATAAACCTATCATTTCAAATCATTTAAAATATAATTTAATTTTTTCAAATATGAAGCTATAGCATA